GAAGGACTCTAATCGAAAGGGATGACAATGACTTCAAAAGTGGGAAGTGACGATGACAGCAGTTGACAGTGGTAGCAGTGGGAAGTGTTGTGACCACACTGGATCACAAGCAGCAGAGTAGTGAACTTGAATTTAGAGAAGAAGTCTGGAATGGAGTTCCTTTGTTTTTTTTACAAGGTAAAATACAGGGGTTTATATAGTAAAAAAAAAGTAGGCTATGCACAGTATAGCTGTGCAAAAAGAATGAGAAAGAACATGAAGGAAGGAATGTACGCTGACAAATCCTGCGTAGGTAGTACAGGATAAGATTGTCAAAAAAGGAAAAGAAAGGGATAGAACAATGAATGCTGTGAGTAATGTCACAGGTTTGTACAGCCATAAAGTAAAGTCCAATAGCAAAAAGAGAGCAGGAAAATCATGATGTCATGGGAAGATGCAGTAAAAAAAGGGCAAGGCAAAACACTATCAGTATCAACACAGTTCCTTTATTGTCAGTCAGGCATTCTAAAAAATATGTGTCCATAAAAATGATTCAAAAATCAAAAATAATTGCACTGTAAATGAATGTTCTGCTGAAGAAAAAGAAACTGGAGCCACTGGTCCACCACCTAGTCCAAATCCGACAGTTCCATAGCCTTACCAATGGACTGGTTGTGTTGGACCACCTGATCAAACGAGGGAGGGAGAGGAGTAGTTCCAATTTGGAACAAGTGAGTCCCAGGCAGGGTGTGGTAGGTGTAGCTGTAGCAAAGATGATGGACAAAAGATAAGTGTACCCAAGTGAATGGGACAGCAATGAACATGGGCGACACAAGGGGATGAACCTTCTCCAGCTCAAAAACTACCCACCCACGCTCCAACCAGGCAAGACAAGCGACCGATGTTTTGATAGTATATGATGGCAGATCAATGTCATGAAGATGGACCTGTTGCCCAATTTGGACCGGCCGCTGGGGCTTTGCTGATATCAGCAGTGGCACATGGTAGTCAACGGATCGGCGACGGAAGCGGATAGGAAGTGGTGACATCAGAAATGGTGGGGGTGCAAATAAGATGAGGAGGAGGAGGGTGGAGGTGATGAAAAAGTGGATTAGAATGGGGATCCAGAAACGACCGTCAGGTGAGAATAAAAAGGAGAGGAAGGGGCCCATGGTGGGGCTAGGCAAAGGAAGGGGAGTAAGGGAAATGACAAAAGCGAGGGCGCAATGCAATGTGTAGCCAGTGGCGACGCGAATATTTGCCGAAATGCCGAAATGCGGAAAGTACCAAATGGAAAAGCAAAGGTGAGCGTGACTGGATTGCCTAATAGAGGTGGTGCTGATCAGCCACAAGTTCGAAAAAGGCAATATTAATTACTATTCCACGTGGCACTGTGCCTGTGTGGCGCAAAGGCGAGTCTTTTTGAATATTCGCTTCGTTATTGACACCTGTCCATGCTACCAATCCACTTTGGTGCATGACAGCATGAATTGACACATTATTATCAACACACTGTCCACAAAGAGTGAGTGCTTTCTGACTGGCTGACTGTTGCGTATTGTATTCACTGATTATACTGTCTAACCTAGCACAGCTCCAACACTCCGAGAAAAACAGGATCTCAGTTCTAGGTATTAGTAACTACCGATTCAAAATGAGAGGCCAAAGGACCATGAACATACTCACCAGAAGGTAGATCTTGCGTGTTCGCCACCAGTAAGGTTGAATATTGTCTATAATTGAAAATAAATGTTTTTTTTACCTATCGCCTGGTGTGCCCCTGCACAATATCAAGGTCTCAAGTGTCTTGCAAATACCTATAGTGACTGTGCCTACTCAGTGTTTTGTTGTGAACACATTCTTAAAACTCACAATCTGTTTAAATCATGAATGACCATCAAGGTCAAACGATCCAGAATACAAATGCAGCAGTCAACATACAGACAATCTGACACAATAATATATTACAAAAGAAAGAAAAAATTTGAAGAAAACACGCCTTAACTACAGCCTTACTCTCGCCCTCACCCCTTTTTTCCATCTGTCCCTTCCCTCTCTTTTCTCAAGCCTCTCACCCTCATCCAACGTCACCAGCCACAATCCATCCTACAGAAATCTCAAAAAAGACTGGGCTAGATCGCCGCCTCCAACCGCCAGATCGTGGTACCTAAAAATCTGAAAATGTGCACAGCCTGAGGCATCATAATCCACATCCTGCTAGCCAACCCACAACGAGTAAATACCTTGAAGTGCCCTTCCGGAATCCCCCAACCATGATCTTTTGAGCTTTGCAGCAAACCTCCTGCATGAAAAAGGTGGTATACAAGGATTAACTATGTTGCAACATAGCTCAGGCTGATGTTGGGACTAACCTCAAAAGGCTACATGAAGCTTCCTCCTGACATATTCGCTGTAGTAGTAGCAATTATAAGGGACATTGTGAACAATGGAAATGTGAAAAATAAGAACACAGTTCACATACTCGCTATTGATGGAGCGCATCACATGCACAACATTGAACCAATGTCTATTAACTCAAGATGAAACGGACGACACACCCACTAAAAGTGAATTAAAGGATCAGCAATCCAAAAGTAGATCTCAGCATCGCTTATATACTTTCTGCAAAGAATACCAAGAATACCAGATATGTTAGCGCTATGTGTACAAAGTGTGTAAAGCAAGCTTCGTACCATCTAATATTTCAGGTGACAGTCCGCAAAATGGATATGTTTGTAAAATTTGGCAGAAAGCAACAAGAAATAACAGAACATACGATCTGCAGTGCGAGAAAGTTAGTAAAGTGCTTTTGCAGACTGCAAGGTAGGTATGCTCTACCCATCTTCAGGTTCAGGTTCACACATATTCAGTATGTGACTGTACCACGCAAATGCTGTGTGTAAGAGGGGAAACGCGGTAACAAAACAAATTTGTAAAGAAGAAAACTACGGACTTACATTAAAAGTCTAAGATCACACATCTTGCGGAAATCCTAACGACAAAAACAACATCAGTGATGAGGATGCGGGCTAGCTAAAAAATATCAAAAGCGAAGCAACGTACAGGCTGAGAACGTGACGGGGGGCATGACAATCAGCATAAATCTGGCTAAAAAAGGTCGAGAGTCACATACAAGCTGGGAACATCAAGAACAGCATGATAGTCAGCCCAAAAACTGACATAGAGAGCAGCGTACAGGCTAAGAATGTGAAGAAGGGCATGGAAGTCAGCCCCAAATCTGGCTAAAAATATTGAGAGGAGACGTACTTCCTGAGAATGTCATTCAGCCCCAAATCTGGCTTTTTTTTAATAAAAAAAAATCTGGAGCGACGTACTGGCTGTGAAAGTCAAAAAGGGCATGACAGTCAGCCCCAAACTGGCTAAAAATTACAAGAGCGATGTACGTCCTGAGAACGTCAACAAGGGCATGACAGTCAGCTTCAAATCTGGCTAAAGATTGAGAGCAACGTACGTCCTGAGAATGTGAAGAAGGGCGTGGCAGTCAGCTCCAATCTGGCTAAAAAAGATTGAGAATGACATACAATCTGAAAACATGAGGAAGGGCATGACAATCAGTCCCAAAACTGGCTAAAAAGATTGAGAGCAACGTACAAACTGGAAACATGAAAAAGGGCATGACAGTCAGCCCCCAATGTGGCTAAACAAAGATTCAGAGCAACATACAATCTGAAAACGTCAAGAAAGGCATGGCAGTCAGTGCCAAATCTGACTACAGAGGATTTGAAGGCAACATACTTTCTGAAAATGTCAAGGAGAGCATGAGAAGTCAGCCCCAAATCTGGCTAACAAGATCCAGAGCGACGTACGTCCTGAGGAAGTCAGGAAGGGCAAGATAGTCAGCTCAAAATCTGGCCAAAAAAAGATCGAGGGCAACGTACATGCTGCCAGTGAGAAGGCCACAACATGGAATTATGGGGTGGTTAGCGGGCGGTTTTGTAGGGTTATGTAGGATTGTGAGTTTATTGAAGAGCATCACAATATCAGTAGCAACCCTTGCACGAACGGGAACATGACTACGTACAGGCTAAAGATAACATATGGTAGGGCAGCAATGGTGAGCTATCTGAAGTATTTCCAGTGTAATAGAGAGCACATACAAGACTGTGAAACTGGTCGGAAGACAATATAATGATCAGTAAATCCAGCAAGGGATATAGCACTTATTACCTTCTAAAGAATCACAATCATATCAAAATATAATTATTAATCCTTACAGGAAGAAGCCTTGATAAGCGCACCAGCTGGAATATTGATTTGAAAAAAGCAAATCAGCAGGTAGCATGATCAGATGAGTGGATTACGCACAAACTAGTTCAGCAGACTTGTCAGCCTTCCATCTTTGAGATGCTCATTATGTAAATACTACACTACTTACGTCCTGTACATTTGTGCACAGTCAACTCCTTCAAGTGTAGTAGTATGCGTGCGTATATTGAAACGACGTACATTCTGTGTATAGTGGAGGTACATTAGCTCAATTTCATTGTTTTGAATTAACTTACCATCTATGTCAAGCCAATGCACCGATTACAATGTAGGTCAATAATCATTTATCACGAGATATTGCCACACACATCCTGTCATATGTCCGATTCAAACCAGTGAAATATAAACACCATCTAGGGTAAGTAACAAGGAATACACGCACTTGCTAAAATGTTGTTTTTGGGACAAAGATTCAGAATGTTTCGCCATTGTGAATCAGAGATAACTTCATACTTTTGCTTGCTCTATCATGCTATTGAGCCTACTTAATGCCGAATGTAGATCTTTCAAACATTGCGGCAATTTCTGTACCAACTTTGTGTCAGATGTGTTTTGCATAATTGTTCTAGCTTACCCTTATCCATGTCTTTATTTCTGAGGATCCTTTAGGTAGTCCATCTCGGATGACGGTATTTACCAAAGAGCTAAATATACTGCTGTTAGTGGTGAAGTTTGTTAGAGAGCTGCTCAGTGAAACAGATAGAGGTGACTCTGTATGACAATCCTCCCAACCATTAAGAGCTCATTGGAGATGACGGAAGCAATTTGTAAATGCATACTGCAAGAGCCCCTTTGTAAACCAAAAGAGGCCCTTGTTTCTTTGCATCATATTCAGGCAACATATCGTGATGGAAGCGTGACAAATAGGGAAAATCTCGGAGCAATGTATGAACTAGGTGCACCGGATTATTGTTGGCTTCAGGAATAAGGAGAATAGATTGAATCCCAAGGAAAGACCTGACAAGGTTTTGAGTTGGCACATCCATCAGGAGAGCGAGCTCTCGGATGGACAGTGGTTCTTCAAGATGTAACAGAATTCCCATTGCCCACATGAGGTCAACCACAATTCCAGGTGCAACTTTCAAAGATAAAGCCTTGGAGAAAACCTGCTTATACAAAAGATCTAGGCCATGTGCCTTCAAGGCATCTAGTAGTTGGAGGTGCGCCATGCCCCCAGTTGTTCAACAAATTTGACGAATGTCAATGCATGGATATAGGAATTATTGGCTTTATAAACCAGGGTGCTGAGGACCTCTGATGAAGTCCAAGGCTCCAATACACCGTCCGCAATCATGCATTAACAATTGGTTGTATATATTTTGCTGAATTTGGTCTTGAAGAATATGTAAATGTCTTGAGTAGCCTCGTATTGCTCTAGCTTGAGCTGAAGCGAGACTTGCTTGGCTTCTGTAGTTTCAAGTTTTGTATAAAGATGTTCTTTGACTCTGCTTGTGATGAATAAGCGAAATGGGACCTCGCCTCCCTTGAACCACGGGCAGGACCGGACAATGGACAAGCTTGCTGGAGCACAATTCACATAAAAACACTAAAATTCTAGCCACTGAGGTGACCTGGCTGGATTACTTCAGATATTATTAAATTACAATTTGTGATAGCTCGACTAATTTGTTTACTATTTTTTGAGTAATGGCTGAGATGATTTGGTTCTAATATGGGGCTGTATGCAACTGGTTCTTTACTGGTTCTTTGAAAACTATGTGTGTACTGCTGATTTTTTTAAAAAACCAGTCATGTGAAGCCCTGAGCTGGGACCAAATCATCTCAGCCATTACTCAAAAAATAGTAAACAAATTAGTCAAGTGTAACAACCAAGAGTTAGTTACTCTGGCACACACAGGAACACACTATAAAGGTGGTGATGAGGGAGTGGTTACCCCTTAAGCTGCAGAGAGTTTGTTGGTATACAACAGGAGGACTCACTGAGGAGTCTCCTTGATCTATTGGGGTATTTATACTAATACAGAGTGTTTGTACCTATGTACTGTACAGTTGATAAAAGCAGTGGCTGATGATGTCAGAGGGCGCAGCCTGTGTGATCAGCTCCACTGTATGAGAGACTTTGTGTCTAAAAGAAGAATAAAGGCAGTGTCGCGCGAGAAAGTGGAGTTAGAACAAAAAAGGAAAGTGCCACATGGCACGGAGTGTGAACTATAGTAAAAGGTTAAGGCGAAGAATGAAAATTAAAGGAAAGGTCCGAAAATTGTGTTATTGTAACATCAAGCTATCACAAATTGTAATTTAATAATATCTGAAGTAATCCAGCCAGGTCACCTCAGTGGCTGGAATTTTAGTGTTTTTGTGTGAATTGTGCTCCAGCAAGCTTGTCCATTGTCCGGTCCTGCCCGTGGTGCTTGGACTTGCACGCGGAAACTACAGCATCAAAGAACTCATCCATTGTTTCTCCGTCCCCAACTTTGCATTCATCAATGGTGTCGATAACTATCACCATGCATCTTTGTATGGCATCATTCTGTGTGGACGTGGAGCAAGTATGAGAGAGCATGGGAGCCATGATTAGTTTTTCAAGTTGATAGCCGAGTGAAGTATGCTGCTTGGTAAGGAAAGGTTCTCTTTCAAGGGCATCCTTGATCAACAGTTCTGTGCTTTCAATTGTAGCTAAGAGTTGAAAAGCCAGTGTAGGAATTAGATGGGAAATTTTGTCTCAATATCCTGATCCCCAAAAAAAGAAAAAACTGGCAGCAACTCTCTCTTCATCAGCACACCATTCTGCTACGGTCTGCACTATGGTGGATTTTCCAGACCCAGCTGAGCCATTAAGCCAGTGAATTGGGATAGTATCATCTACCCATGTTTTGATCTCGTCTAGGACCTTCTCCCGAGTACCCTCCAAGCATCAAGTGAGTTTCCCTGAGCGATGTAACGACCCAGAGTTTCTTACTCTGGCGCACAACTTGGACAAGCAAAAGAGAAGAGAGAAAGGAGGGATCACCCCTCAGGTTTCAACAAGTTTGTTGTGTTAGACAACAGGAGGACTCGTTGAGTCCTTCCCCATGTATTGCTCCTGTATATATACTAAAATACATGAGGTACTGTACAGTTGTAAATAAAGTTTAAAGTCCAATGTCTAGCATGTGACTGGTCGCATGATGAGTCTAGACACTGGTCAGGTGATGTGTCACATGATGGTCATGTGACTATGAAAAGTCCGAAAATGTAAAGTAAAGTAAATGGTCACATGATCAGTCATGTGACTTGGAAAATGAAAAGTAAAAGTACAAAAAGTGAGACGTAAGTAGGTGCTGGTATGTCAATTGCAACAAGTGATCCTTGTATGAAGCCTGAACCGGCTGTAGCAGGTTGTATAAGGTTTGCGGAGCTAACTACGAATGATTGAGTTCATAGTCAAAGATAGAGAAACACTACGGACCGCCAGAAGCTACATTATTGTTGTTGATATTGAGTCTCAGTCCAGATGTTCCAGATAATAAATCTAAGTGAAACTACAATAGATGTTAGTTTAAGGTGATCTCTAATAAATGTAATGTAACATACCTCAGCCACTGCCCGAGAGGCTATAGAAATGACTGAGGTATTCCTATACTAAACCCCCTACTACTTATAGTCAGAGGTGCTACTTCCTACAGTATAATGACTCCTAGGAGAACAATGGTGACTCCATGGAGTGGTGGCTATGCTCCATGGAGAACAATGGCTGCTTTTGCAGAGACTGGGTTTATCCGGTTTTGTCACCAGAATTATCAATAAATGTGCCATATGGGATGTTGGTGTTGTTGGCCCCACCAAACATAGTCTGGCCAATAGTGGGAGCTAGAGAGGTATGACCGTTGAGATTGTTAGAACCTTCACTGTCATAGGAGGTTGTTCCTGTGTCCCATGTTGATAAGACTTACCAGGTCAATTGGGAGTGGACATTGAATCTGAGAGAAGGAGACGGATGAAGGGGGGAGAGAACTGTGGGTAGCACAAGTAGCACAAGTAGTGTATCAATTAACACTCATCTGCGTGGCCTCATGTCTTGATGTATGTTGAATCCTCATGCCAGATGCTCCATGCATATCGATAAATGTTTGCTATAAGTATGACGGCACAAATAGGCGCTCAAAGCCAAGCCATAAAGTGTAATGATGACAATGTGACTAACGCCTAGGTCAGATCCATCAAGACCCTGGCATAAGAACACTATCAGGTGAAGAGGGTTTGCTGTTCGCAGCTCTGTGAATGAAGTTGCGCCAAGGTTATAGGGGCTCTGTTGTCAATGTGTGCTCAGAATTCGATGTCATTGTTGGGGAATAGATGACATTGGTGTTCGCAGAACTCATGTTTGTCAACCCCAAACTCACTAGATAAAGCAATGGAAGATGAATATAGGTTATACGACGGCACAATGGTGTATAGGAAGCCATTTAATCACTCTTTATTCGCAAATTCTACTTGGAAGGATCCTCCAAATATCGGCGCTTGACGCTATATGATATCCAACAGCCAAGAGTTGACATTGGACCAATTGTTGACAGGCATGTACATGAGACAATCACAAATCTATCAGGCCTTGTCGCCATCACATAGCCAGAGAAATGATGGTTGACCGTGAAGAGAATGCTGGAGGAAAGCAAGAAAGGGACTACCAGGTTCGCGCGTGCACCTAAAACTCTGAGATTGGAGGTCTGAGTAAGACTGAAGATGTTCCCTTGTATATGTTTTGTTACGCTATAGGCTTTCTAGGATAACCGTGACTGTACCAAGTTCCTATTGTCAGTACAAGCAGATAGAACACTGAAAGACTTGCACTACCACTTACCCTCCCTGTGTTACGATCTCTATTGGACATTTAAGGACTACTCATTTCTTTTTACTCATCGGTTATACCATCGGACCAATGACTCATTTCCTTCACGTACACTTCCGTTCCTCTCGCATTCACAGTACCTATTATAGTACTTAGTCCTCAACAGACGGACCTGCCCTAGATAGGACCTAACTCCTATCACCAATTCCTTTCCATTATAAATACCATGTAACAGCAGTAGTATTCTCTAATACAATTCTACGCAGTTTACACTTATAAAGCTAGACTCCTAAGATCAGACTTCTATTCAGAAGAAGACCAACTCCTGTTGGAAAACCTCCACTCAGAACTATGTTCTCGAACTTGTCTTTGGATAAGTCTCTTTACAAACCTCGACGAACCCTCAGACTTTGTTAAGCACTTTGTGCGTAACAAAAGAATTGTATTCTAACCAGAAGTCCCACCTATTTAGGTTTGGGAAGAAAAAGTCGACAAGATGTCGCAACGACCAACAACCAGATCCCAGAGAGCAAGAGGAAGCTCAGACAACCCACAGACAGCAACCCCACTGACGTCATCCCACAAAAAAGGATAGCAGCACCACCTCCCTTTCCCCAACCAGACGTAACCCGACTCCACACCAGAGAACAAGCAGACACTTTCTATGAAGCCAAAACACGTTGGCTACAGTACTACGCAGGAAGCCACCCACAGCTACTGCCCACAACACAACACAATCCCCCAGTAACCGTAGAAAACCTCTACGACGAGAACGACTTTGAAGAGTCTGCAGCAGGCGGCGACCCGATACCATCTCCCACTCCACAGATACTCCCTGCCGCACCTGCTCCATCCCACATCCCACCACCACACACCATGTCTAATGCTGCAGCCCCCAAACCCACGATGATCAGGAAAATCGATGACTTCGATGGAACCCCAGATAAAGCCCAAAGGTGGATATCGTCCACCGATCTACACTTTGATATCAACGACACCATCTACAACTCCGACAAGAAAAAGGTATATGTGGCCCTCAGCTACATGAAGGACGGCAACGCCGCCTCATGGAGCGAAGCCAAGATGACCGAATACAAAGAGAAGAATGCCTACCCCACATGGGCAGACTTCATGAAAACCTTCACAGCCAGTTTCAGAACGGCAAACGTCAAAGGAACGGCCTCGGCCGCCTTGATGAAAATGAAGATGGAACAAGGAGAAAATGCAGTAGCGTTTAACTCAAGGTTCATGCTAGATGCTGGGAAAAGCGGCATCAACAATGAAGCCATGATCATGGTTTATCAAAAGGCTATCCGGCCACCCCTCCTTCGCAGGGCACTCACCGGAAAGGAACTACTCACCATCGAAGACTGGATGAGC